TGTAATGATTGCTGTGCAGCAGCTCAGAACTGAGACAACAAAGTTGTTGGTGCTGTTGGCTGTGATGGGAACAGTTGGACTGAACAAGCTGCCTGCTTTTACTGCTGATGGCTGTTAGCATAAGGCATCTTGTGAGCAAGCCTAATAAAAGGAAACCACCTATAAGGCATGTGTTCCCAGTCTTTCATATTCTTATAAAGCATTATAGACAAGGTGACATGGCACTGCAGATCAGTGATACATATGTATATACTGTACATTTTAACAACCATGTTACTGCAGATGCACTCTTGCTCTGACAAGTGCTGATGGAAGGAATGGAAGTTCAGTTACAAAGGGTGATTTTAAAATGCTTGTGAGCAAAATGTTTAATGTCCTTTTATTGAAATACTGAGAACAGTCCCATTCTTATACCTGTATTGCTTGAATTGCCACGGGAGAACAAAACTCAAAGCTTTTAACAACAGATTACTGTCAAAAGAAATTCTCTGCCAGTGAGGCAGTAATACTGTTTAACAGTTGCTTTAATAGTTCCAATTTAATAATCACTTTATTTTCATTTCAGATGATGATAACCCTCCTGTGTCTTTTGTGAAGTTCTCCCCAAATGGCAAATACATTCTAGCTGCAACTTTGGACAAGTAGGTATTAAAAAAAGTAAATAAAAATCCACTGACTTTGAAGTGATAATGAATATCAGATGAAACTTTAGTTTGCTACTCATCACCTGTCAGGATAATGACCCTGCACAGATGCATACCTACTGCCATGTTATATCCAAATCAAATTCAGTAGCTTGCTTACTCTCTTACTTGATCTGGCTTATGTTTGAGCTGTCTTGTGAGGGCTTCAATCCTTTGTTTACTTGCCTGAAACATCCCAGTGCAAGACTTGAAAGTTGAAAAGCTGGAGGCAGTGATTGTACTGGGGAGGGGGACAGTTTGTAGGGCCATCGCTGTTTCAAGTGGGTTTCTTATCCTGTGAAAGAATGCAGCCTTTTCATGGGGGAGAATATGAATGGCATGCTGGTAAAACTGTTACCTTGGGGTTTGAAATAGGATTTCAACTAAAGCTGCATTCCAAAGTCAGGCTAAAGTTCCCCTTGTAGACATTAAGAACTCAGGTGTGGAGAAGCTGTCTGCTACTAGGAAACTGGTGAAAAAACACAAGAACTAAATCTTTGGTTTTCTGTCTTTTTTTCTAGCACTCTTAAGCTTTGGGACTACAGCAAAGGAAAGGTAAAAAACAAAACTAAAAACCTGAAACTTGCCTTGCTATGTAGACTTAAGTAAATGTATAGGAGAATCTGGGCTTTATATGTGCTTACTGACCTTGCTTTACATTTAGTGAGTATTACAGCAAAAAAGCATTTGTAACCCTTTATTTTATTTTATTTTATTTAAAGATACCTTTGGGGGGGAGGGAAAAAAGGCTCGTGCTTCTGCGTAGCCCCGAAACACTGAATGCAGCTGTATTCCTGTGTTTCTGTCAGCATTCAATTTCTCCTGCTGTTTTTCTCAGGGGGAAGTGACAAATTGAGGGCTTTCTTCTTTTCCTTCTCTCCTCCAAATGATGTGGTAGTAGGGCAGAGATGCCTTCTGCATCCTTTAGATAAGCTGGCAGGGTGGGAAGCCTGGGCAGATGTATTTAATCTGCTGTGACGAGAGTTTGTCTGTGCCTGTGAGAAAGCCACTTCTCAACTGTGCCTCGTGGCTCTTCTCTTCCAGTGCCTGAAGACGTACACAGGACACAAAAATGAGAAGTACTGCATATTTGCCAACTTCTCCGTTACTGGTGGAAAGGTCAGTGTTTGATATGGGCTGCTTTGTACTGATGGGCCGTTCTTGCTGCTTTTCTCCATGGGTGTAAGGCTGAGACAGCAGGCAGCAGTGTGCTGTGTGAGGGCAGGCGCTGTGCCCTGCTGGAGGAGGTGGGACGCGTTAGCAGAGGCTGAACTCTCGTGTCGAACCCCCTCAGCGTCTTTCACTCCTTTAGTTTTCCTCCTTTAGAAAAGATGGAACAGCATTTTCTGCTGCCTGTGTGCTCTGAATGCTCTGAGAGACACCAAACGCTCATGCGGTGTTGGGCCTTCCTGCTCACGTGGCGCGGTGAAGCGTTTGGCGAGTTGGAGCGGTTGGATGTGGATGAAGAGATTCAAATGTCTTTCCTCTGTCCCTGCAGTGGATTGTATCCGGTTCAGAAGACAACCTGGTTTACATTTGGAACCTTCAGACAAAAGAGATTGTACAGAAATTACAAGGGCACACAGGTAGGAAAGAGCATTCTGTCTTTATTGGTAGAGCATCCTTCATGTCAGCTTGCAATGAGAGCTTTGCTGTTAGCATTGGTGTTTTCTTGCTTCCACTGTCAGACCTGCTAAATCTGAGGTCTTGGCTGAGGCTTGATTGAACCCTAAATGTTCACTTATTTTTACAAAGTCTTCTATGTCATTGCAAATGTTGTTTTCAATGTAACAGCTTTGAAATCAGTGTGCAAAAGAGACTTGAGTTCGGAATTGGTTAAGATATTTAAGTGACTCAGAATATGACTTGGAGTTGCTTACGGACACCTTCTGAAGCTGCAGCTCTTGGAAGGCTAAGAGCTGACGTGCTTCTGTTGTCTGTGTTTGTGTTGGCTGTTTCTTGAAGGCAGGCTTGAGCGTGCATTGAGATGTCACCTGCTTGGGACTTCAGTCCCATAGGAGCATTCCATCTGCATGAACTAGAAGGGGATTGTGATGCAAAACTCAGTCATGCTTATTCCTTAGTAGGACCGTTGGTTTTGATTGCAAGCTGAGGCAGTGGCAGCAAGCTTTGGTTTTTTAGACTTAGAGCAAGTTGCTGAAGGCTAAGAGCTATCTAAATACTGAGTGGAACACGTTCCAGCTGCTGCTCTCAAGCTGGGGAGCCCACGAAAGGGATACTTTTTTGCTAGCACGTAACTTCCCATCCCATAAACAGAGTGAATGTTGAATAATGTGTTTTTAACTCTGCAGCAAGGGAATAGCAACTTGGCGATGCTGTAGCAGCATATGCTGCTACATGTAGCAGCAGTACAGATTCCTTTTCGGGAGTGTGTGCTGTGAACCTGATCTCACTGCTGTAAATAATGCTTGTGTGTCTTTTTCTTCTTGCTTAGATGTTGTAATCTCAACAGCTTGCCACCCGACAGAAAACATCATTGCATCAGCAGCTCTAGAAAACGACAAAACAATTAAGCTGTGGAAGAGTGACTGTTAAACGCTCCAGCATCACTTGAGAGACTGTCAGGAAAAAAAAAAAAAAAAGTTTTTAAAAAAAAAAATAAAAAAATTTAAAAACCACATGAGAATAATAAATCCAGTTTGGCAGGAAACCTGAAGAATATTTGATAAAGTGGTTTCTGTTAGTCTTGGCCCAAAGAAAACGTCTTAGCTCTTTGCTAGAACCGGGCAGCATGGTGGGGAGGAAAAAAAAAAGCAAAGATGCAGTGTCTCCTTTCCTTGCCTGATCTTTTGGCAGACAAATGGATCGTTCTAACACGGCGTTACGAGTGTCAGCCTGGTGTTGGACACCCAAAGATACTGTATTTATGGTGGCATTACTTCTGGGCACTGCTGCTGCTTAAGGAAGAGCTGCCAGCCTGCTTTGTGACAGTAAGTTAAGTCATGAGCCTAGAGATGCGTGGATTTTTTTTTTTTTTTAAATGTCTAATTTTTTTATTTTTTCAGAATGTAGGTTTTAGTCTCTTGGAAGTTTCTGTATTGTTTTAAATAGGAGTACTGCATCTTTAAGGGTGCTTCATTTTAAACACTCAGCTCAAACTTTGTGACCAAATAAAACCATGCAGTTCCAGATTTTCCCCCTTCCTGCCCCTGACTTGACTCCTGTGGTGAAATCTCCTCTTACCTTCTGTATAGTTGCTTACCTCTTGTTACGTGTGTTTAATAGATGCTGTTCTAGAGCAAAGTTACATTTCTTCTGTTAACCATTAAAATGAATTCTGCTTGTAGTTGTTCTCAGCATATTTTATTTTTTTTCTTCTGGCTAAAAGGAAGCTCACACGACACTGTAAAGTTATTTCAATGTAAAAAGAAAAAACAACCCCAGACTTTTGTATTTGGAAAAATCCATCGTATGAAACTGTACTGCTAATGGCATGACTCTGTATCTATTTCAGCGTTGGTATTTCTTTCCTCTTTTGTCATAGCCACGTAGTGTTTACACGTCCAAACAACTGCCATATGCCGTAATAAAAAGGTGGGATTTTCTGTGTGTGCTTGTTGGTAACTGTGGTACTGTGCAGTGTTTGTGTCATCATAGAGCCAGAGAATGGCTTGGGGTGGAACGGGCCTCAAGGCTGGTGAAGCTCCAACCCCACTGCTGCAGGCAGGGCTGTTGTGTTTCCTTAGCAGCCTCTCTTAAAATCAGGTTTAAAAGGAAGTATTTCTGTAGGAGCTGCACTGAGTGAAGAGGAGAGAGGAGGGGAACCAGCTGTGCTTATGGCTGCTATGAAGAAAGGAGCATTTGAGGAAGGTAAGGAGTGAGCTGAGGGTATCCTGTGCAGAGGCAGCATTGGTACAAGCCCTCGCAGAGATCTTGAGCTGTGAGGAATCCCTGCTGCCTACTGTGCAGCACGTGCAAGGCAGGCTGAATGATGATGTAGGATTTAGCTTTTGCTGGTTGCAGATTGTTAATGAACAAGCTGAGCTCCCTCTGAAGGGCTCTGCCATAAGGTGGATAATTACTAGTTTGTTTTGCTGTCAAGGTCCTGCTTGATAATAGCTAAAAATTACAGCACAGACCTCTCCCGCATGGACCCACCGCGGCACGGAAGCGATCACTTTCCTTAAAGTGACTTCATGAAGCGGTTCATTCCCCCCCATCTGGTGAAGCTCCCTCAGTGCAGGACGTGGCTGTACTTTGTGAGCGCAGAAAAGCCGCTGCGTTCCCCCTGCGAGCATTTCTCGTGTTGATTCAGCAGCGCTTTGCGTTGTACTGCTGTTAGCAGCTGGCGGGGCAGGGCGGAGGAAAATCGCTGTGTTAAGGAAGGGGCAAAAGGATTTCGTTTGAGAAGGGGGGGGAACCGCGAAAAAACATGGTTAGATGCCACGAAGTAGGTGGCAGTGCCTTATCCGTATGCGTGTTGTATAGGCCACTGGGGCCTCTTCCATCCTTATCAAGGGGAGTGCTAACCTTCTCTCCTTTCATACAACACGATACCGCGGTTCCTTATGGCTCTATTTAAACCTTCAAAGAGCGCTTCCTCTTGCAGACAGGGTGAGCACTATTTCCTGACCTTATCTTCGCTCTGCAAAAGCTTTTACCTGTTCCCCAAAAGAATTAAGCTCTTTCAAGTGTTTTAAATCCTGTGGGCTCCGTTAAATGACGCAAATGCGTTCTGTTTACAGAGTAATTAATATATTCATCGCCTCCATCCAATCAGAGTGCAGGCACTGGAGCGTTTTTGACGGCCGCATCGCTCTGACCGGTGGAGGGCGCCTCTGCTCCACCTCGTTAACGGCGGCACGGTGCCAGAGAACCTCTGGGGACTTAGGGTTCGATTCCCGTCTAGGCTGCATTTCAGGGAACAGAAAACTGGAGCAGCCCGAGCACAAGATCCATTTCGGGGAGGTAAAAAGGGGCGATATTTTTGGGGTGCAGAGAATGGGGCTGTGCGCAGGAAGGGGGCTGATCAGCGGGAAGTTCTGTCTTTGCTGGGGATGAGCTCTAAAGCAGGATTTGCTGGCTAACCCATCTAATCTGTGCAGGGCTGAGCCGTCTTTCTGAGTATCGCAAAGGTTTAAGTGAGAACATGAATGTAGTGGGGGATTTGCTAATCAAATCTTTCTCAGTCGGGGCAGGATGGCAGTTTCCTAACCCATTTCTGGTGAACTCAGGCTGACAAATCTCTGAATCTCACCGGAAAGCTAATGACAAGTTAAAAGAAACGCATGCTGTTTCCAGGCTGGTTTGTGCTCATTTGTTAGTTTTTTCCTTTTCCCCACAAATTTTAAAGGTCTTTGCCTCCCACATTCCGAGGAAACAAAGCAAGCAAACAAAACTTCTGGCTCAGCTCAGCCTCAGCATCACCAGCAGTCATGCCACCATGCCCTGTGCCTGGGGACCAGGCACAAATGTGGCCCCATGAAGCTCTTTCCACCACTGCAATGGAATGTGTAACTCCCTGTGTGCTGCACAGCCGTGAGCTGCCCCGATGGCATTTTTTAGGGTCTCCATCTCAGTGCCCTGCACGGATGGGCCACCTGGTGCTGCTATGGAGCAGTGGCTTTGCTGGCTGAAGCTGCAGAGCCAGGTGCTGTGCCCAAAGGTGTGCGTGGTCTCCAGCTTCTGCATCACTTCTGCATTTCTTCAGCATCACTTCATCAGAGCCCAGGCTGCCAGAGACCGATGAGTTTATTAAGGGATTAAAATTAGCCTCTCCTCCTTATTGAGTGCTCTGATTTATGCGTGTGTTTAAATCAATCCCATTTCCTGCGTTTTATCCCTTCTCCCCCAGGCTCTGCTGGGTGAGATGTGCTATAATAACATTGTTTTGAAGCAAGCGAGGCACCGTGGGTGGTTTAAGTGATTTGAATAAGCGAGCTGCATCACTTAGGCACCTCTCCCAGGTGCTAATTGCTACCCCTGTAGCTGCAGGTGTCCACACTCGGACAACTTTGTCCTGCCTCCCAGCGAAATATTAATGAGTATGCAGGCTAATGAAGATGCTGGGATGGAGATGGGTCTGTCTGCCTGAGGGCTTTGGCTGGCAGCAGAGATACCCACTGGGCTGGGGTCTCATATCAGCCATAGGCTGCCCTGGGTGGGTAAGTTCCAGGTGCTGGTATGTGGCTGCTGGATGCACCGCATAAGCAGCTTATTTTGTCATTTTAATTTTTTAATCCCGTGCATTCTGTTGCGCTCTCTTATTAGTAAGCATTAGCTCTTCAAGTCCCATTAGCCCCGCTCAGAGCTCAGGCTTTGCTCGTGGGGACACTGCTGGGGGAGCCAGTGGGGGTCTGGGGATGGATCCTGTGGCTGGTGATGTCCGTGGGGTCCCACGTGGCTGCGATGCTGATCCTGACCCACAGGGCTGTGTGCATTGTTCATGGCCTTGACCCTCACCTCGAGCAGCCCTAGCTGGACTCCCCCAGGCTTAGCCCCATTTGGCATCTCACTGTTTCAAGAAATAGGTGCATAAAATATATCCAAACCCACCTCGACTTCCATCAGGTCTTCCTTTAACCCCACAGCCTTCCCTGTGGCTGTGCTTTGGCAGAGAATCCCAAGCTTTGGATTTAAAACGAGTTGACTGCTTCTTTTTAATAAAAATATTCCTCCCCTCTTTAAATAGAACATGTCACAGAGCCAGTGGGGCTGTTTGTGAAGACGAGGCAGCTCAGAGAGGAGAAAGAGGGAAAAAAAAGTAAAAACACACATCTCCCCAAACCCCTTCTGCCTAATCCAACTGAATTAGAGGATTTTGAAGTGGATTTAAAACTAAATCTTGATTAGGGAGAATTTCTCTCCAAGAGCTGCTGCACAGTAGTATTAATGGGAAGCGATCGTGGACAGAGGAAATAGGACAGAAATAACCGAGGGTAGCACAGACGCACTCACGTCTGTGCACAAACTGAGAGAACCAGAGAATTTCTCGTGAGGAAAAGGAAGAAATTAAAGCATCGACATCACAGGACTCAGTGCCACGGGGCTGGAGGAGCGGGGAGCAGCCAGACCTGCCGATCTGCCTTTATTCGACACGGGGCTCGCAGGTGGGAAGCCAGCGGTGTGTGGAAGCTGGGAGGACAGGCAGCCCGTGCCCCCATGCTCTCAGGACACATGCCTGGAGGTGCCCATGGGATCCTGTCTCTGCTGACCGTGGTGTTTGTCCTCCCAGAGGGTAAGTACTGATGGGCGCAGAGCGCTTCGTGCTCTTTCGCCTCCATCTCAAACCCTGCTTGCTAACGTGCGGTTTATTCTCGGGGTGAATTTGGTGCAATTCCCAGCTCAAGTGATGTAGCTGCATGTTGCCACGTTGGTGGTTTTAGGAAGAGAGATAAAGTTGTTGTGTTTTGGATAAAACGAGGGCAGGTGGGTGAGGAGTGTGGGCCAGCAGCTGGGATCCCAGCAGCTTCCTTTCCTCGGTGAACCTCTTGCTGTGCCCAGGGAGGCTCATGCACCTGAAAATGCTTTGGGAGCAAATGAGCAAGGGCTGTGAGCATTGCTCTGGGGCAGGGGGAAGGGAATGGCAAGAAGAAGCCTGCAATGTGATTTCTGCGGTTAGCAAACACAGGGGTCACGTACTGCGTTTGCCTTAAAATCTATGGATGATGGGAAAGAATCTCCTTTTTAATTTATTTATTTTTTTAATGGAATGTGAGAAATGGCTCAATTCCTATTTTGATTTAGGGGAAGCATTCTCAGGCACGTTGTTCCTGCAGGACAGGGCTGAGCTGCCCTATGCAGAGCCCATGGGGACAAACTGCTGAGGCATCTGCTCTTATTCTCTCTTTCCTGATTCTGGGCTAGTTTTCCTCCCTGATGGACTGTGATAAAAACAGGGAGGAAACCAAACTGTGCTTGAACCAGAGAATTTTGTAGAAACAGGCAAATGCAGTTTCTGAGAGCAGCTGAGCTTGATGGTATCTATGGCTTGGAGGTTTCACTTATTCTTTCCAAACCCTGCTTCAAAGCTCCCTTGTTTCCACTGTTGGATCTCAGCTCAAATTTATTGCTAATCTTTGATTTCTTACTGACCTCTAGCGGGAGTTGGTTTAGTGCTTTTGTGCCCAACGGGTAAACAAGTGACGGGCAGATTTAGTCTCTGACTCAGTGCTTAATGCAACCTGGCAAGGCAGAGAACGCCACAAATGCTTCGTTAGAGAGCAGCTAGGAAGGAGCCCAAGTGTTTTCCCCTGGAAAAATCCAGCTGTGTTTTATATGCTCTTGTGCAGTGTCTGGGCTCCAGTGCTACGGCTGCAACATCATTGTTGGCACCAAGTACGTGGACACGGGGTGCTCGAACCCAGAGGTGATCACCTGCTCACACTCCCATCAGGGCTTCAAACACCGCTTCTGCATTAAGACTGAAAGTGGTGAGTCTGCCTTATGGCAGGGCCGTCATGGCAGGGGAAGCTGATCAAACCAGTCTGAAGCAAACCCCAAACCTCACGGCCTCCATCCCTGATGTTCTGCCATCTGCTTGCCTTGCAGTGGTCCTGGGCATCCTGCTGACCAGCGGCTGTGCCACCTCCCGTCACTGCCAGCAGCAGGAGCTGCCGGGAGTCCGCATCCACTGCTGTGACACCGATCTCTGCAATGGCTCTCCCCAGCCTCCCCCCAGCCTTGCTGGCGGCTGCCTCCTGCTGCCCAGCCTCCTGGCAGCCCTGCTGCTCTCCTGAGCTCCCCGAGGCTGGGGAGTGATGATGTGTGGCCCTGGGAGAGGATGGGAGAGGGGATGAACCCGCCCCTGCTTGCCCTTCTCCTCAATAAAAGCCACCGAATGCTTTGCTCTGGAGAGACCTCAGTGATGTCCACAGGGGGGGTGGTTGGGGCTGTGTTCAGCTCTGGGGCCCAACATGGAGCTGTTGGGTCCAGAGCAGACGACGAGAGTGCTCGGAGGGCTGCAGGACCTCAGAAGCTGACATTTGGGACAGGCTGCTGGGAAGCTGTGGGTGCCCCATCCCTGGAAGTGCTCAAGGCCAGGCTGGAAGGCTTGGAGCCAAAAGGTCCCTGAGGCCTCTTCCAATCCAACTCCACCTCCCCAGCTGTAGGCCCTGCTCTGCCACCAGGGGGCGCCCGCAGCCCAGCAGCCGCCAGCGCGGCGCAGCCCCC